TAACTTTTTTCTTTGTGGAAATGAGGCTATGGATTAAAATGCCATTGGGTGTCATATGAATACGAGGCCAACAATGGTGTAACAGCCTAGAAACCGGAAAGATAATTTTGATAAGGACCCAATGTTTGCAATTTTGCCCCTATACACCACCAGATTTTTAAATGAAACAAGATTTAAGGAGGTTAACAAAAATACTGCATGAACAGTTTAAGAATTACAGTAGTTTTATACTGAATCTCTGAATCTCACATTTTAAGAGGATTTTCTAAACTTGCTGATTACAGTACGCTTCGGAGTACGCATTTTGAGACCTATTATGTCACAGCGACGTGACCATGGCTGTCCCAATCCGAAGTGTACTCCAAATGCGGTCTCCAAATATGCCGTCGTTTTCCCTAAATATGAAGTTTGGTCCGCTGTAGACTTTGTGGTCCCATATATCGCAGAATTCATAGTGCGGCAGTGGGTGTGGATAATTTTGCCGAAAAAAGCGGCAGATGGGTTAAGCAGAGCGGCCGAAAAAGTAAACTTTCAAAAGTAAGTACTGAATATTATGTCACTTATTTATGTGCAAATGTTTAATAATGAAGAACATTAAAACATTACTGTTAGCCACATGTCGGCAAAGTTGCAAACATTAGCAATGTTAGTACTATAGCTGACCTTAATCTTACAGAGAATGTGATGATTTTATGGATAATTAAAGTCAGTCATATATCCACAAATACAACAAGCTGAAAGTCAGTGATGCTGCTCGGTTTGCAGTCCTGAACATCACGGCACAAGCAGGATTCACTGCACTGTTAATGTTAGCTATGTTATATTGCTGCCTCTGTTAGGTGGTGTCGAGCCAAACGGACTTTAACGTGTTTTTGAACGAGCTGACGGTTCACTCGTTAAGCTGAAAGAAAGATGCTTTAATCACAGGACCATCACTGTACCATCTGGGAACTCTTCTTGTTGAGCACTCGTAATGACACAAACACTAAATCCTCCTTCTCTTGTGCTGTTTTGTAGCAGTGTATACACCTGAGACTGTCACCTGTCTGTCTGTCCTGCACTCTCTCTTTTTCTTTCTCTCTGATTGTGTAATAAAAGTATGAACATTCATTTATAAGTCACACTTGTGTTTGAATCCTGCAGCTTATCACACATTTGATTTCCATGTGTGACAACTGCAAGTGTCC